GGGGGGGGGGCAGGGAGCATAGCAGAGGAAAAGCAAAATCCCAGACATCTGTTGATATTTAAAAAAACAAAACAAAAAAAAAACCCCAGGTGGAGATAGAAGGACCCAAAAAGAGGACATATCTGGGAAAACCCAGACACATGGTAACCCTAACTCTGGTCAGGGAGGATTTTGTTTTGAGTTGGAGAGCAGCTGCTTGCCTTTTATGTTGATTAATACCGGTGGACTGGATAGTGACTAACAGGGAAGGAGGTGGTCACACTGGTACCCCAGGGGCATACAGCTGTTTTGAGCTCTGCCAGGGGCAAGGCTCAAGGCGCTGACAAGTGGCAATGGGGAAGGGTTAAAGCCTAGGCCAGAGAAAGCCATAACGCAAAGAGCCACGAACCAGGGCCAGGGGCCTGAAGTCCAAGTGAAAAATGAAACCAGAGCCAGATGGCCAGATTAGGGCTGGGACCTGGAAGCCAGGTCCGATACAATGGGCCTAGGCACAGTGACCAGCTAGAGTAGAGGGGCTGGGAAGACACAGGCCCCCAAAAAAGGAGTGAAGGCCTGAGGTGGCCTGGTGTTGCTGTGGGGCCAAGTGCCCCACCTACGTGATAACCCATAACATCTGTGAGGCATAAGCATGGCTGTAAGGGAGATCAGAGACCATGATTCTTAAAGCACCTGGGGCCTAGGTACCCCAAAGAACAGCCTGTCTGTGAAAAGATCCCCCTGCGTTTTGGGCAGCCTTCCAATCATTTTTAAAACAATAGCAAGGTATGGCAGGTGAGCAGGAGGGAGCACACAGGGGACACGAGACAGCAGGAACTGGGGGAAGGCATTATCATGCCACTTTATTCTTGACCTGTCACAGGGGCTAAGTGACAAGGCAACTTTGGAGTTCTTTGGAATCCTCTCCCAGTTTTGTCCAACGTTCTGATTTCAGATCTCTCTGGAGAACCTCCTTGGCCTTGTAATGAAAGGCATGCAGTATTGAGGCTCTGGATCCATTTCTGGCGCTTGCTGTACAAAAAAAGTTCCTTCCTGAAATGACCTCTCTTGATTGTAACAGTTTCGCTAACCTTATGGTCTCTCTAAATTGGGATTTTGGGGATAGGATGGATTAATAGTGATGCAAAGGTAACTTTGGAACTATCTAGAAACAGTTCACATCTTTGTCCAGTGTCTGTGTTTCAAGTCTTATCTCAGCAAAAGGTCCCATCTATTATACAGCACCGCCTCATGCTCAGCACATGCATTAAACCCCCTCTGTGAAACTGGTAAAGTTCTTTAGCAGTGCTTCTCCATAGAGAGTCAATTGGATTACCTGTGTATCTTACTGCCTGGTCTCAGTACCTGATGCATCCTCTTCAGACTTGTCAGGTGCTTTTCCATCTTCAGCCTTACTATCTGTAATAGGAAATGGTGCAAAGAAGAATACAGAAAAAATTGTAAAAAATGAAAACCAATAAATAAATAAATATAAAGCAATAAAAAATACCTTGCAGTTAGAGAGCCTTATAAGCAGTTTGTAATCAACAGCAAGCAGTGCTAGGGCTGGGCATTAATTTCTGTAGCTGAGGAAAAGAGACCTAATCAACTGCCATGCGGGCTGCTATTTTTAGTTTAGCTATAGAAGATTTCTTCAGGAAAACTGACTTGCTACTGGGTGGTCATAAGTTTTGTGTCACTAATAAACCAAGCTCAATTGCATCTGCATCAGAACCTGAGCCCAGATAGCTTCCAAAAGTGTTATGATCTTTTTATTTGGGCAAGCTTTTAGCAAGCAAGATTAAGTAATGGGGCACTCGAGAGTTTGTTGTATATTGCATCATATGTTATTTTAATATTTTATCTGGTTTTTTTTATAAACTATCTGTTTTTTTATTGCAGGCTGCAGCAAGCCTTTTCTGGGGAGGGCAACGTATAAAACTAATAAATTCATAAATATGACTTGGCTCTTAGCCCTCTACTCTCACAGTTCAAAATGCACCTTATTAAAGGAGGACAAGTCTCATTCTCTTTCTCCGTGAGAAGGGGGAAAAGGAAAGGGACCTGTCTATGGTGACTCAAACTCATTGGTAGAGCTGAAAACAGAATCTAGTCATCCCCACCACCAGTCCAGGGCTCTACCAGGTGGAAGACACTAATAAGAATGTGAAGACACCAGGCAGAAAGCAAAAGTCTCCCTCCTAAGAAGCTTCCAAAAGCTTTTACACTTCAAGTGCCCAGAACTGCAAATCACCCTGTGGCCATTTCTTCTAGGAACACCACTCCATGTCCCTTCTCTCTTACCATTAACTTCAGGAAAAAAGTTAGAAATACTTAACAAAAGTTAAAGATCATGAGAGCTGTTTCCCATTGAGCTGATTCACTGACGTGGGAAATGGCTCACTATGGCTTAAAATGATTCTTCGTTTAGAAAACAGAACTAAAAATGAACTCCTGGACCCCTATGGCCTGCTCCCTGACAGGCAACCATTTATCTCAAAGCACCCAGTAAAACGCTCACTCTGTCCCAGCTCTTGCATTACAGCCACAAAACACGTGAGGAAGAACCTGCAGTGCTTCATGGAAAAGGAAGCAAAGGCACCACCAAAGAAGAACCTGCTCAAAGGATCCTAAGAGGCAGACTGAGCTCCATGCTACAGGGAAAGAAAACCTGCCCCTACCTCCCCACCACCCTTCCAAGGGTCTTGAAATTTTTCCTCAGGTCAGATTGTTAATCTAAACCACAAATCTTGGGTGGATTTAACCCTAAGCGAATGAGCAGTACCTACCAGCCAGGAATACCAGCGCACTCAAGCCAACTTCCCAGCTTGAGCTGCAGCCAACATCCATGGCTGGAGAGGAAGGTAAAAAAAGAACACCTTGCATACTCAAAAAACCCACTGGATATTAAGTTTCACCTACATGAATGTGGCTTTTTTCATACATTCTTCTTACAGCATTACATGTAGCCTGTCAGAGCGCTGTTAGAGTCAGGAACTATATAGGTCATCACCCTTGACATACCAAAGGTTACTGAACCAAGGAACTGCTCAAGGAGGTCAAGTGTAACAGTGCAACATGTCCATCTTGTGAAGTTCCCCATCAGGATTTTAATTGCTTGTGTTTATTTTCATGGGTGGTAGCAGATGTTAGACAAACTGATCCTTGTGGGACGATTGATACTTTTATTAATGACCCCTCCATCCTCCTACACAGAAGGGTGGTGCCACAGAAATAAGAAATGCCAATAAATCTATCACTTGGGGCAAACAAAAAGAAAACGGGATAGGCGTAATCAGGGTTCTAGA